AGGATGAGATGCGCAAAGCTTCTCACACACCTGCGCTTCTCGGAGTCGTTTACCGAACGTTGAAAGAAATGTACTGGTTTTCTGACAAACATCCAGAACACTTCCCATCATGCCGAGGATGAGGCATTGACGCGCAACCATGTAGACGCGGAGATCGAAGACCGTGATCGTGTTGGCGAGGATAAGATCCCGGTATGCCTTCTTAGTTATTGAGAGGAGAGGGGTACTATCGTCTTTTGGACCGGGGGAAATAAATGTACCGAACCAAGTCATATTCTTCTCCTTTGACACTTGGAAGAACAAGCTTTCCAGTTCGTCGTATTGAGTGAGGGCATCTTCATACAATCCCATCCCTTCGAACAAAAAGGCAAGGCTTTCCTGTGTATTCATGAGCTAAATGGAAGCTGCAGCTGGCGCGACCTCACCTTGAGAATAAAAAATGTACAAAAATTCCATCCAGGCATTTGCCTCTGGCCCTCCGACCGTTTGACCTCCTCTTCTCGAAACGTGACAACGGTGTCAAATGCAAACAACAGCCCGTCCTTCAGCTTAGAGCTGAAGTCGACCCAGGTAGTTGGGTTGTTTTTTCCAGGTGACCACGAGAGCTGCACACATCTTCGAACGCGGTTCAGGTTCGTGGTTGTGGCTCGTTCACGGAGAGACGGACCTGTCCCGCTTTTCGGTGTTATAGTCCGCACGGATTTTATCCAGGACTGTGCCTTTCATCTTTAAAAATGTACCTCCCGAAGCTCGTATATCGGGCGATACGAGGTGGACAATCATCCATTCCTGATTCCTTCGTTGTGTCGCTTGGCCGTACCAATCCTTAATCTGTTTACGGACCGTTGTTTTGTACGCTTCAACATCCTGATAGCATAAATTCAGTATCACGATAAATTATTTGGTGCAAGGCATGGATCCTACGTCGCACGTTAGCACGTAAAAGTTTAGTAGTGGCCTCTCCAACCAACTCCCTGGTATCTGTGAGGCGTGCTCTCCAAGTACACTGTCGAATGGAACGAGATTGATGGGAAGTTCTTGGACCGTTCGTATCGAAGACCGAGATGCTGATTTCCAGTGAAGATTTCGGAGGGGCAGTTGTGCAGCAATAGCAGAGCGAAGGTGGTCCCAGAGATCGGGTTGAGACTGTAGGGTCGAGGATGCGGCGTACGTCACCGTGACTCGCTGAAGTACCATCTTGAAGTATGAGAAATAAGACGCATCCGCCTCGCAGTTGATGACCACAGCGAGGGAGATATGCACAAACGCTTTTGTGGTGAGATCGAGGAGAAGGCTGGCCGTACTAGGATAGGCGCAGGTGATGCCGATCACTGACGACTTAGCCACCACCATGATGCCCGCTACTTCTGTCCGGAGACTCGAAAGACTCGGTCGAAGGCTGCTGTTTGACCCTTCATATTACTGGTACACCGCCCTTCTCGTGCTTCTAGGAGACACACTTTTGACGCAACTCATCATCCGCTTTGTACGATGTCAGACACCTGCTTTACTTGCACAAATCCAAACATGAAAATGAACGCGTTTTCACAGACACAGAGATCGACTGGGTGACATATATGCACCATCTGGAACTTTATTCTCTGGGTGAACGGAATTACTCGCTGATCGACGGCCCAACTGGGGCCCTTGTGTGAGTACTTTTTGCGGTGGGGTGTGCAACAGTTATTTACGCTTTACAGATACCCTGCTGGTCATGTATACATCCACCGTCTCCTATACCTTATAACAGACTCTGGAAGGAACATTCGCCTCGCCCAACACATCTACGGTGGACTCTATTTAATCTCTGTCGCCCTCACGTCTGCTATCTATCGGAAGGCCGCCGCTCCAAACTGGCTATTGCTCCTACTTCCCTTGAGCAAAAGGCTCCATTCGATATACAGCCTACGGCTGTTCAACGATTGCTGGGCAGCCGTCAGCGTCCAAGCCTCCATCCTTGCATATTGTAATGGATTTTCGGAGATCGGTACAATACTTTACGCGTAAGTTCCGATGAGAGCGCGGTTGAAACTCTCATGGGATACTGACATGTGATGTAGTGGTGCCCTATCCGTGAAGATGTCGAATATGTTGTACCTTCCCGGTATCATGGTGGTGACATGCAAGCAGAGGGGGCTTTTAGCAACAACCGGGCATGTGGCGACTATTTTCGTCTTGCAGGGCTTCCTCGGTCTCCCATTCTTACGGGAATATCCCTGGGAATATCTTACTGGTGCCTTCGATTTCTCGCGGGTGTTCCTGTACAAATGGACCGTCAACTGGCGCTTCATCCCGGAAGACGTCTTCTTAAGCAAGCTGTTCGCCAAAGGGCTTCTTATTATTCACCTCATTATCCTTCTTGTTTTCCTCTTGAACCGATGGTTCGTCGATCCCCACGGCCCGTTTACCGCAATCACCAAGGCGATCAAATACCCCACGAAACCCCCTACGGCTTTGCCTGTGACATCCGATTGTACGTTTCCCCTGGGGATTGGCCCGTCCGCTTCTAACGTTTCAATGCAGCCATAATTGTGATCTTCTTCACGTGCAACCTAGTTGGGATGACTTGTGCACGCTCACTGCATTACCAGTTCTACTCGTGGTACGCTCAACAGCTGCCTCTACTCACGTGGAAGTCGTTGTTGGAACCGAAGCGAACTTCCAGTCGAAGACAACAAGCCCTGTTCTTCCTTTTGCAGTTAGTCACTGCTGCTCTGCATATGGATGTTGCTGACCGTGATACCTAGAATCCTGCTGCTGATTGCTGTGGAATACTCGTGGAACGTGTTCCCTTCTACAAATACATCTTCTCTGACACTGCTAATTGCTAATTTGTTCCTGATTCTATCCGTCTTCTTCTCAGGCATGGGCCAGAATCGGACTATGCCAGAGAAGGTTGAAAAAGTGTCATAGATTCTCTACCAATTTTCCGATAGACTACGTTGATAGAGCAGCCCTGACATTTGCTTCACCCTCCGCTAAACCTTGCAAGAAGGCGTCTCGATATGCCTGACGAGAATTCCCGTCGACGACGTTCGGTCCCAAGGCTGCGATGCTGTCATTCACATATTGATCGACAAACCCGAGTTTCGAAGAGTCCATAAGGGCAAAGATCTTGGCCGTCATCAACCCATCGGAGTGACCTTTTGCAGCGACCGTATCGGTTGCAGAGAAGTTGACCAGCGGTTCGTTTCGTTTCCTCGCCAACGAGATGAGATGGTAAAAGACATCGAAGGGACGGAAACCTGTGAGATATACGGGCAGTTCGCGTTTGTGGCTCTTCGGCCATAGTGGCCCCGTCACAGATTCTATCTTCGCCACTAGCCCGCTCATGACGGGCAGACGGCTGTCCGGAAAGAGGGTCGCGATATCGCTTGTTGAGAGTGCTGCCTTCGAAGTTTGACCGTATGGAAAGAAAGTGTTCGGGAGAGCCCTTCCGACTGCATGCTTGAAACACCATCCGGGATCTTGGTCACAGTCCTCCTTTTTGTACGCTGTCCCAATCGTCCATCAGTCTTCAGAGAGCATGCTCAAACAAGACCTTACCCCAGAAACTCCACCCCGCGGCAGCAGTCGCGTAAACACCCATCTGACCTGTGCAGAACCTCCGCCGTGCTTCATCCGGATCCTTCTCAGATGAGAGACTTTGGGCTGTGAGAGCACATGACCATTCGTCAATGACGAGGTTTCGGCGTTGATTCCCGGAAGCAGTTATCAGCGATTGAAAGATCCCGTTTTCGACGTTCTCAGAGTGCTTGGAGGCAGGTGTGGAGGCATCTGAGGGGGTAAATACGTAGTATGAATGGTAATCCTGCACAACGAAGTCGTCCCGTCCATGAACAAAGTCGCTGAATTTCCAGAGGTTGAACCCGTCATGCAAATATAGAGGGAAGGAACTCCCGTACGGCGAGGCTTGCCTCATCTCCTCGATGACTCTTTCGTCTGGTTTCCTGTGAGCGATTGAGCCACACGAGAGGAATGACCCAACGTACAGAATGGGATGAGTTCCGGGACATCCTTCGGTTCGTTGAGCATCTGGATCCCGACTACGTTCGTCACCGACGCCAGCTCCTTCATGAGAAAATTCAGAACATTGGCGGTGCTGTCCATGTTGTTTTGCGACTGGAACAAGCCTGTTACACCGTCGGATACACCGGAATGTCCTTGTCCGTTTTGGCTACCGACGGCCCCATGAAGATCCACTAGGACGCCCAGCCCAGACTTTCCCGCCATGTTTATTGCCCGTTTGACTCTTGGCCAAGAATTTTGGTAAACAGAAGAAACTTGATCGTAGTTCGTGCCTTTGCAGTGTTCCGGCCCAAGGTTCCAGTACCCGATTGGCAATCGTACAGTGTTGATTCCGATGCCCGCGAGGTATTCCATGTCTGATTGGGTGATCCAGGTATCCCAGTGACGTTCGAGAACAGAGCGAGCACCTTCCACAGAGCCCCAGCCGTACGCAATATCTAGTTCAGAGACTTTGGAGCCAGAAGCGCACAAGAACAACGAGGGTGACATCCAGTCTTCATGAACAAACCTGTTGGAAGAAATTGAACCGGGATGGAATGTGCCACAAATTCATTACCGACCACGATCCAAGGTTCACGGACTGCTGTTGTCTGTATCGGAATATTGTAGCCTTCGCAGAGTCAAATGGCGGAAATTCCTGGTCAGTGATTGGCGGTGCCGAGTAGGGTTCTGGAATGCAGTTATCCTGAGCGTTGAGATTTAGAGGATCAGAGGAAGCGACGGAAGTGTTGCCCAGAACTCCGAATGGGTCGAACGATGAGCCATTCCCGAGGGCAGAAAACAAAGGCGGGGCAGGTGTTGGCTTGAATAACCCAGCGGTCAGGTTGAGCGATTGCAGCAACGCACTGAACTGCTGGACTTCCGCCTGCATGATGGGAGATCTCAAATTGCAGTGGTCCGCGAAGTTCATTTCTGTCAGTCATCACTGATGTGTTCATGTTGAACTCAACCTTACGGGCGTAAAAAGGGTACTGCCCCGGAGAGGCTTGAACTCTCGACCTTGTGATGCCTTGACATAACAGTCACACGCTCTAGCCAACTGAGCCACGGGGCACTGCGATTTGCGACCTTTATACGATCCTCGTTGGCAAACTACTACCAAAACTTATGTGCTGCCTGTAGATGAGAAATATAGCCGCAATCTGTCGTACTAAGATACATGCGGGATTCGATTATGCGCAATCATTGCCGGTGGAAAGTTTGGTTTCCGTTTTCCGTCTCCTCTTCCGTTTATGTCCACTTCGAGCTTGACTGGCTCCCGCGAGTGTGTCTGCGACGTCCTGCTCATCTTCGCGTTTCCGTTTGGAACCTGTAGAGGTCGGTTCCGACCTGGGGATCTGCGTAACAGCAGGCTTCTTCTTTTTGACGCTAAGGGGATTTGGCCCCATTGGCCCTTTCTTTTTCTTTCTGGGGATTTCGGCTTGTTTCACGGACACAGACAGTTTAGATAACTCTGCCTCAGCAGGTCGAAGCGCAGCCTCATCCGACTTTGCACAAGTGATCAACGGAAGAAACGTACAAGACGGGTTCGACTCACTCTTTCCTTGGTTTTCAACGTGGCACCGCTTGGTGGTTCGAGAATCATTACCGAGCGGTTGACATGGACGATTGGTACAGCAGGTACGCAGCGGAGCGATGAGCGAAGGGATTGAGATTGCGTAGCGACGACGTAACGGTGTTTATTTGTTTCGCCTGCTAAGTTTGAGGCTTGGCTCGTTGAACGGTGCCGACACTTTGAACTTACCGATGACATCTTTCAAGCATGCATCTCCAGGGACAACCTCTCTATGATTGCATTTCCTTCGGTCAAAACTCTTGGCGAGGTCCACCACGGGTTGCATGGGTTTCCCCTGGAGATAAAGCTCGTGAATGCTGCATTGCGTTATCACTTAACTTGGAAAGACCTGCTCAGCCAAAGAAAAGAATGAGGGGAACAGATACGCACTCAATTTAACAGTTCCCTGCAGGACAGTAGTCAACAGGTTGGATAGATCCATGCCGCCCTGGTGCGCCGTTTTACACATCTCCGAATCGACTGCAGGCTTCAGCTGAGTGACGAATATCATTGAAGAGGGGGGAGCTTACTGAGAACCTGGTATGGCTGTCTGAACCCGAAATTCATTGAGTACATGGCCATTAACTTCCGGTACGCCTTGGCTCTCTTCTGTCTCATTTTTGTGAGGAAGAGGGATCTCGGAAGTTTCCGATCATTCCATCCGCACTCCAAGGATGCGTTGTACGCGTCCGTTGCAGCAGGCCTTCACTGGCCCAAGTGCTCGTTCATCTGGTATGATTGCATCGTTTTCGGATGAGGTATCTATTCACACATGCGGCGTACAGCTTCCCCGCCGTCAACACATATAAAAGTGAGCGGCCTGCCAAAAACTGCCCTGCCAGAAGATGTTCGGAGGCTCGTACAGAAGCGGGGACTCGAGAACGTTACCGCAAGTGAGTCGGTCGACTTTTCCATCTGTTTGGTGATTTAACACACACCCTGTTAAAGTATCCATGGATTACAATCGTTTTAGGCCGACCGGAGCTGCCTACCTGACACTATCGTCTCAGAATTCTGTGACCCGCAACTTGCGAATGCTGAACAATGCCACAATGGCATCCCTGTCACTTCGTTCAGCGGCGGTTCCGGACCCTTCTCCTGTCGCAAGGACGCGAGGCTCAGTTGGCCGTCAGGAAGCTGCCGACAAAGGTATCATCAACGGACACGGTCCTAACGGTGGAATTGCTGGGAACGGGAAGAATGTAATCGTGTGGGGCCTCCCTGGGAAATTGCCGTCGGATGGCCTGAGAAACTACCTGAGGGCATTCCGATTATCTGACGAGAATGGACAGCAGAGCATTGTCAAAATCGAACCGTGAGTTTTTGGTACGCTATGCGGTGTAGTTTTTAATTAAAACCATGCTGTAGCGAAAGGCTCTCCCTTACCTCAAGGCACCTGGTTCGGTGCGCGACCCCGTCTGAAGCTTACCGACTTGTCCGTCGTTTCCACATGACCCACTTCAGCGAGGCCTTCTATGGTGACAGGTACTTGATAGGCGCCCGCGTGGTCTCATAGTTGTAGCTCTTTTAATTTTCGTGCCTTTACCCATAATCAGGATCCACTTCACAATGATGTTTTGAGTAACATTTGAGGCTTTGGAGAATCGTCGTGGGAAGCTGATCAGGATTTCTGATGGTGAGCAGGGTCAAAATGTATTGAAGCTGGAAGCACAAACCGCCATGACCGTGGTCTACCGTGGACAAGAGCTCTCGCTCCAGGAATCATTCCGCGCGTTTTCTCGTAAATTGGAAGAAATCTTGACTCACCCAGACGAGTAGGTGGCACGGCTAGACTCACAGACAAACCTTTTATTTATCTGGGCATGACTGTAGGTTTGCCGAATTTCAAGTCGAAGAGGTTCGCGCCCCTCCATCGCCCTTCTGGGCGCACGTCACTGAGATCCCGTGCTGCAGATCACAAGGATGGAGCAAGAGATAGCGGCCGCGTCGTTTCGGCTGAAGTCTTTAATAAATTCCTTCAGCCCTGTCAACCGACTACCCCCAGAGGTGTTCACCACAATTCTGGCCCATCGGTGGCCAGGAAGAGATCTCATTTCTTCCACACACGTTTGTCGACACTGGCGCACGGCCTTGCTCTCCTCTGCATCACTTTGGGCAGAACTACGCTGCGCGGGTGAAGAGCAGACATTTTGTTTCCTCCAAAGAGCCAAGACAGCCCCATTACACGTTTACTTGCGGCCGCGTTTCTCTCACGCAGCTCTCAGAACCTTCATCGCGCCTCAGGCCGGCCGCATAGAATCGTTGATCGCCTATCCGATGATTGCCCTGGACACCACAGCCCTGTGTCGCGATCTCTCGAATCCGGCTCCAAAACTGAGGACATTAGATATTGCACCCCATAGTGCCTCGCGACACCACCTTCCGACCATCTTCAGGGGAGACCTACCCGAATTGCGACGATTTAGTTTAGAACGCGCAGCATTCGACCTGACGAAGTTCCGGACACCAAACCTCACTCACTTCAGCCTCCAGTACACTGCCCATGGCGAGCCGTTAATGGCCGATCTGTTGGAATTCCTCGAGCAGGCCCCTCTTCTAGAGAGCCTAGTGATGGTAGCTGCCGGACCTTTGTGTGACGATGTCGAGTCCTACGACAACCTGGACAAAATTGTTCACCTGCCTCGCCTCAGCCAACTCAAGCTCGTTGGGCGATCGGCTCGGTCAGGAATTATCTGCCATTTGGCTTTGCCCGTTGGCGCGGATGTGACCTTGCGCGCAGGCGTTATGCCGAGTCAAGATGGCATCACCAAGCATTTCCTCCCATCGTCCTTAGAGCACATCCCGATGGCAAGGAACGTCACGGTCATCAGATTCACAATCGACACGGCAGACGTGTGCTCCCTCCACTACATAGGGCCGAACGGAACGATATACATCGAGGCCTCAAACGCAGTCGCGGTCGAGGACGGTTGCTTTTCATACGACGCCATCCGCTCCTTCCAACCCGTATCCACGATAGAGGTCGAGAGAATCCTATTTAATGGCTTCCAGGGATGTGTCAATCAACACGAAGCTTTCGAATCTCCCCGCTTTGTGGCTTTCCGAACCATGGAAAGTCTCCAATCAATAACGCTTGTTGACTGCCCGAGCCAATCGCTCATTGCTGTTCTACAACCAGCGAAACCGGAAGTCGTTTTCCCTTCGCTACGCACACTTACGATACACCTCTCCCCAAAAAATTCATTCAGCGCGGCCGGGCTTGAGGACCTCCTCGCCACCAGAAAAGAACGCGGCGTCCCGCTAGACACACTCATTTTCATAGCGGGGGATGAGCACGAGCGCATCCCGGACGATTTGCTGGTCAAGTTCAGAAGATACGTGGGCGAGGTGGAGTTCAGGCTAGACCCTTGAGCTCTCTGATGGGACGATCCCTCGGGTTGGGGCAAATGGTTGTGCACCCTTGGCACCAGTTCACCTCTTTACACTTCACACACCCCGGATACATGTCAGTATTATGTAGCGTACCTCCCCTACCCGGCGTTGATATGATACTTCGTACACCTTCTCCGAACCACACAGAAACCCCCACCGATACAGACGTGATAGGGCGTATAAACGTACAGTAAAGATACAGGTTCACCGTCTGTTTGTGATTCTTCCGGCCTTCTTTTTTGCAGCTTGCTGCAGTGTGACATACGCGTACGGATCCGTTCCACCTCTCTTGACATCGCCGCCCGCTTTCTATTGGCCGATCAGTCTCACAAGCCAGGGTATAGCAGGCACGTTCGGAGGTGCGAACCTTGGATCTAAACTCCTTGCCCAGTTTCTCAGGTGAGCGTTTCTTGTTCTTCCCACTTACGTTGGTGGCATCAACCATCTCAATGTCTTCAATATCGCCCTCCAGCTCATCTCTTCGACGTTTCTTGGTGTCCTTATTGAATTTCACCCGTCCACCGGGACCACGACTGAAGCCATCAACAGCGCGGATGGAGTCACGATAAGCCGTCCCAGCGACATCCTCTTCTACTTCCATAGTTCCATCATTTGCCTCATCTCCATCCTCGATGATCATCTTGCCGGTTTCCGCATCGGACTTGAATTTGGAAGCTTCTTGGCCTGGTTTGCGGGACTTCTTCGAACGGGTGCCTTCGAATGCGGGAGTCAGACAGGGCCGGTAATGTAATGAATGCTTCGACTCACTCGTAACTTGGGTCGCGGCAGATTCAAGTAGGTCCATTGGCTGGTCATTGTCGACGCGAAGCCGAGGGCCGCCGTGAACATCGCCCCGCTTCTTACGGCCCCCGGAATTCTCCTCTTCGTCGGTTTCTGCCTCGCTATCCGAGTTACCGCCATAAAGAACTTCTTCGAATGTTGATTCAGTGACCGGCTTGTGGACACCAGGTGCCTGGCGGTCGACGGTGAGGGGGCATAAGAAGCACACGGCGAACCCGAGCACAAACCTGATCTTGTTGCTCAGAAGCTTTTGCTTTCTTTTTCTTTGCATATTCCTTCCTTTTCTTGATGTTGGCTAGGATCTTCTTCCCGTCTTCGTTACCTTCCACACAGGCCAGTAGCTCCTCGTAGCCAACTTTTCTCATGAGGCGTTCGCAGATGTACCTCACTTGCATCTTGAAGTGGTTTTTGTGACCGTGAGACCAACCGAGAAGGGATTTCAGCGTTGGTCTTAGATGTTCGCGGATAGTATCTGTGGTGTACATGTGGACAGCGAGCTTGATGAAACCGAGGGCAGATTTGACGATCTCCCGATTTGCAGAGTCAAGGAAGACCATCATTGTTGTGAATATTTCATTGGACATATCGGGAGAAATATCGTCTGCAACAGTGAGTCGTTACGAAGTTGTGCCACAATCGGGAAATTACGCGAACCTTTGAATTCGAAAGCCAACCGGGAAATAGCTGTAATTGTCGCACTGATCATGTGTGGGGTTGCGCCAGCGAGGCCACCAGCAATCATCGTGAAATACTCTTCCAAAGATGCCTGTGCTATCGGGGTCGATTGTGATCAGGATAAGTAACGATGCCCGTCGATCTACAACTTACTTTCCGTAGCATTGTCTTCGTCCATCCCCTCGAGCAGATTGCGTTTGACCAAACCACCCTCCTTCATTTTCTTGCCCATGGCGACGATCAAGTTGAACGCTTCGAGGCGTGCTTTCTCTGATGGCTCTTTCGTTCCCAAGACCGCCTCCGGTATCAAAGAGGGAAGAAGATGCAGTGAAGTATTGGGGAGCGTGTTGACCAGCAATGCAAGCAGGTGCAGTCGATCCTGCAAATTTTCAGAGTTTCATCCAGAAAAATGAAAGCGCGGCTGAGCGCGAACCTTCTTTGCCGCTGCGGAAACTCCATCCGCCTTACCCTCGAGCCGCTGGATGAAACTCTCGGGGGTGACTTCGATCTTCTCGCTATCAACAAGCTTGCTGAGAATCTTGTAGCCGCGTTTCTGAACGCCGGTGGCTTTATTCTCTAGCACATCTTCCATGCTGGAAAACTCAAACAACGATTGGGAGTCTTTGTCCCCCAAGAAGGGAAGAAGGATCTGTAGCAGGTCTTGGGTCATAGTAACAACGCCGTCCCCGTCGGTGTTCGTCCCGAACTTGGAGGAGGTCGCAGCCGAGGTGGCTAGGTTTTGCTTGAATAACTGTGCCACCTTTGCGAACGCTTTTGAGATATGCTGTCGAACTGTGAGCGCACAGGAGGCGACGGGCAGCGGAGAAACAAACTTCCGGTCTGGCAATGCCAGCCCAGGCCCTAATCACATCGCCGATCTTTCCCCTGTCTTCACGGTCGACCGTTCCAAACACGTTGAAGAGCACAGCGAGCCAACTATCCGCCTGTGACTTGAGAAAAGCCACGTTTTCTTGAGCTACCTTTCTGGATATATGCTCAATACTAGAAAATTTCTCGCCCTCGTTACCCTCAGAAGCCAAGGCAACATTGGAATCCACCATCGTCCTCAGAGCTTTGAGAATAGCCGGTCGCAACTCCTCTTGGCTGTAGATGAGTTGTGAGAGAAGTTGAGAGAAGGTGGTTGTTAGAGCCTGCCAATTGTTGTAAGATCGTAGGTGTGGATGGAGAAATGGTACTCCATACCGACTTAAGGTCGACTGTCCCGTGACAATAACCTGGCAGGCCATTCCATATTTGCGAAACCAAAACACTCCAGACCTTTGCCTCCGAAGCTCGACCCTCCGCTTCGGCCGTTTGCTGATAATCGAACATCCGTTCAGTGAGGGGGACGAAGTATGAAATAAAGTGATTCAGAGGAGAAGGATGTGGTTGGGTAAGCAGGGGGAGAAGGAACGCGCGCGGTTCTCTGCCTTCGGTCCTGTGCGGAAAATGTAAGAAAGAAACAGGGGGATGTGAGACATATGCCCTACCTATCGGAAGGTTCGAGGTTTAGTGGGAGTATTTTCAAGAGGGCTTCAGGGCCAAGAACACCCATCATAACCCCAAGAGTTTTGTCCGCATCTTCCTTAAACTCGAAGTGCTTTTGTGTGCGGAGAGTCCCTATCTTTGTCACCATACCCGGCATCAGCACCTCAGCCGCTGTGGGATTCGTTACCACATCACGGTACCGGAGAGCTTGTACGAGAGAGGAAACCACAGACAGTAACTCCGGGATTGATCTTGCGAACGTCAGAGAATCCAACGCCTTCTGCGTTTGTGTTATGATTTTCACGACGATCGAGTTATCCGTTCCCTGGTTTGCATCCGACAGGGCATTTTCTATGAGGGAAGGGGTGAAACATGTCGAGATGAGGTCGAGTGCCTCCGCTGCAGATTTCCGAGTCTCTCGATCCGTAGATTCCAGGAAATTCCAAACACTCTTCCACGCACGGGGGAGTTCGGATGCAAATTGGTCGGGTGCCGTTTCCTTATACGATACGAGAGCTTTCGCGACCACCAACGCCCACGCCGGAGCCACTGTGGTGTCACTGGGCTGAGGGGCGGCGGAATGGATTGCGGATATTATGTCAGGTAACTGGGCGGTGAGCGCAGATTCGTCGTTGTCAGAAATAGCCGTGAGGAGGACAGAAAGTGTCGAAAAAGCAGAACGAGAAAGGTAGGGGTTCCCTAACTGGGGAAGAGGGATCAAAGAAGCGGCAATGGACGGTAGTGACTGGGGGAAGTTTGAGCGAACCTGCACGAGTGTATCAAAATGACACATACTGAGGGTGGGAGGGTAAGAACAATCGGTCCGAGCAACGCAAGAATATGGATCCCGGTCTCTGTACCGTCTGTACCACTATTTTTCCTTGCCCTTACGGGACTTACATCGTTCGTAAGTGTGGACTGAATGAAGTCGGAAACCTGTGACGCATAAGGATGCCTAACAGATGGGGGAGGAGCTGAAGCAAGAACATCATGGATGACTTCCGCAGCCTTCTTTCGTACTTTGGGCCGAGGATCAAGTGTCAAGTGGAGGATTGAAGCAAATGATTGTCGGAGGCCCTGTGCAGATTCCAGTTGGGATCGTTCAAGTACAGTGTACACAGAATTGTAAATCGCTAATTGCGAACGTAATGGCGGGGCGTGTGGAACCAATGGGGGAAATAAAGGGGCGGTGAGGGACAAGATCGTTGAAAGATTAGAGCGGATGACTGGATGTGGAACGAAGGGGAGAACCAACGCCAGAAGATATAGTTCCGCTGGTAAAACGTCGCCTTCTCCAAAAGTCAGAGTCTCGGAGGACTGGACGGTGCTCTCCAGGGTCGTGAGCAGCGCAGCGAAGTAAGCGGTGGGCGACCTCTCCGCCCCTTGTTGCTCGAATGTCGATTCCAACGCCTGCAGTAGCTGAACAGGGGCTTTTTGGTGGGCAAGAGAGGACGTTGTATGGGGCCGAATTTTAGCCAGGGCTGTCTCGATATCTGACATCGTTGTCAGATTTTTTCCGTTGCGGTCTAAAGATTGCTTCCAGGATTCTAAGATCGAGCGATGGGCCAAGAAGAAAATTGGCTTATAGCAACACGTGATGTGACGATCGAAGGAACATTCACCCCTCCACCAATCTGCGGCAATGGCGCACGTCGTACAGCCACTAGACCAACCGTCGAACTACAAGGATTCGCAAGCGCGAGTGGATAGGCACAGACAAGAGGAGGCTCTCTCGAGATCTTCCACCCTTTACGTATGTGTAGATTTTCTAACGGCTACACGTCCGTGCAGCTAACAACTGCGTAGATCGGCAACCTGAGCTTCTACACAACAGAAGAACAGATATACGAATTGTTCAACAAATGTGCGAATGTTTCCGAAGGTGGAGGAATCAAGCGTGTCATCATGGGCCTGGATAGGAATACCAAGTGAGTTTCCGCTCGGACCGGTCATCCTTGACGGTGCTGATGTGACGTCTTGAGAACGCCATGCGGATTCTGCTTCGTCGAATACTACACGCGTGCCGAAGCCCTTGCAAGTTTAAGGTACATCAGCGGAACTAAACTTGACGAACGGATAGTTCGTTGTGACTTGGACGCGGGGTATAAAGAAGGTCGGCAATTCGGTCGAGGCAAAAGCGGAGGCCAGGTACGTGACGAGCATCGTGAAGACTACGATCCCGGCCGTGGTGGCTGGGGTGCCCAAGCCCAAAAGTCCGAGGCTGAGCGAAGGAGAGAAGTGGAGGAGAGATATGCAGATACGACAGGCATTGTGGCCGGTGGCGGTGGAGATTGGAGGCAAGGGGAAGTGCCCAACCAGAGTCTCAAACGCGGCAGATCCCCGGAAGACGATGGAGAACGGGAGAGGGTGAGTTCCCAATTGTGGTACCTTGCCCCACGATTGACATTTCTTCCACACAGGCTGCGCGTTCTCGTTTGGACGTGGAAGACCGCATGTAATTACCGCCCAGTCGACCCGTAAAATGTAGAGTGTAGCTCCGCTTAGGCAGAAACAGGGGTAGGACGACAGCCAGATGAGGATAGTGGTAACAAAACTTGCATGATTGTATGCCCCATGGCTCAGTTGGTTAGAGCGTGTGACTGTTATTCCGACATCACAAGGTCGAGAGTTCAAGCCTCTCTGGGGCAGGCAGCTTTTTTCCTCACGGCAAGGTTGGCATAAACTTTCAACCCAGTCAAATTCCTAAACTGCATATGACAAGAAATCCAGAGACCACTGTTCTCTATTCGTCAAACCAAAGGCGTATCGTGAGGTCCTTTTCCATGCCCGCGGATGCGATAATGTTTTTCGTTGGATGGGTCTGGGAATATAAGCCGTAAACGATCATTGTTCCTCTCGACAAGAATGCTACGTACCGCAACTGCCATGACCACGTCTAAGTGGAAAGGATCAGCCTTAGGTGGAAGGGCGTAACGAATGCTGAACAGAAAGAGCTACCTCTGTGACCGTCGAGTACCTGCAGGATCTCCCTCGTTTGCAGGTCCCAGATGTACACCTTCGAGTCTTCGCTACCGCTTACGATTGCCTTCCTCCCTGTCACACTGAAACACGCGAATAAGCAGTACGTCACATTCGTGTGCCCCTTGTATGTTTTGACGCATTTCGATGTCTGTGTGTTCCAGAGTCGGATGGTTGAGTCTTGGGTCACAGCGAGGACGAATTTTGAGTTGGGGGAAAACTTGACGTGTGAACTACGTGGTCATCGCGCGTTAATGGAGAGGGAGCGGGATGTAGAACAAGCGTACCATATGGGATTGTCATCATCTACAAGAGTCTTCAGGCACTGACCAGAATCGGCATCCCAAAGGCGTCTATGGAGGATGCTGAGTGGTGCCGCAAACGAGATTCTTTACCGACTCATACATAAGACCATCCATGGCGCACGAAACCACCATGGTCCCATCAAAGTTGAAGCTGACCGCAGTGACGGGGTCCGAGTGAGCAGGAAGGATTTTGAGCGATTTGCCTGTTACATTGTGAGTGTAATCGTGAGGGAAGGAAAACGGCTTATACCTCTGGCAACGTCCCATATCCGCACTGTCTCGTCAAAACCACCAGAAGCGAGGAGGTTGGACTTGTGGTTGAAGTTGACGCAAAAAACGAAGTTCGTGTGTCCTTTCAAGACGTTGACCGCGGTTCCCTAGGTGATCTGGTATATAGCGAAGATAGACACGGGCGTTGGACAACAGGCCTTACGAGGTTGAAATCCCATATTCGTACGGTTTTATCGTCCGATGCGCTGGCAAGGAACTCGCCTTCTGATGCCCAGGCAACATCTGAAATTCCTCCGGAATGCCCATGTAGGGTCTTGATGATATCTCCAGTGTAGGTGTCCCAAATCTTGATCAATTTATCTGCCGCTTGAGATCTTTGCATGTCAGCACTTCTCACAACAATAGCACGACGACAACTGAAACGTGCATGACCATGAACAGGAAGCGCAACTCACCTGCAGATGCGAGCATGGCCCCATCAGGGCTGAACTTCAGAGATGAGATAGACATTGTGTGTCCACTGAGCATAAACCTCGGTTCGTAGTTCGGTCTCTGCTGAGTTTGTGGTAGGTTTTCTTCCATTGGATGGAAAGTCACCCAGGGATCGAGCCCGCCGCAGTGGTCAAAGGAAAAGGTCACACGCGATCGGACCGGTCACGCGGAACGCGATCCATGTCTTCTCGCAACGACCACCGACGACGGGACCGGAGCTGGGAACGTAGTGACAGGGATCGGGACCGCTACAGGGACCGTGGTGGAGATAGGGGGAGAGGAGATAGGCATCGAGACTCACGTAGAAGAAGCCGCTCCAGAAGTCCTCGGAGAAGTGAGACCGATAGACGTTCAGGTGCGCACAACCTCTTCTCATTTCAGTTCCAACAGCTCAATGTAGACAGAGAGAGACAGGAAAGACTATCGTTACGATGGCAGGCGGGACTCTGATCGACGAGACAGAGACGATCGTCGAAGAGATGATAGACGGGATGAACGCGACCACCACAAGGAAGAGCCTCGGGACAGAGGCACACCTAAGAACCCCGAATTGAAGCCTTCCCTGGGACTGAAAGAAGAGCTAGGTAAGTATGAAGCGCCAACCATATCTCAGGTGCTCACTTTTCATGCAGTGCCTCCGGTTCCGGAGCCACGTATCAAAAGTGGGGATCTCGAGGATGGTCAGGAGGAGGGAGAATCAATGGATGCCGTGGACCAGGAGGACGAAGCCATGACATCCATGATGGGCATAACTGGCTTTGGTTCTACTAAGGTTTGGTTTCTCTCGATATGAGCGTATCATCATCTGAACATCTTTCACAGGGGAAGCACGTCGAAGGGAATCAAGAGGGTACCGCAAAGATCAAGAAGGTCCGAACGTGGAGACAGTACATGAACCGGTTTGTCGCTCTTTTGTTTCTGTTGATATGGAACTGACTACACGAACACCCTCTAGTCGTGGTGGATTCAACAGGTCCGTCACCTACGTTTTTCGAGATTCTATCCGACTCTTACCCCATTTTTTAGGCCACTGGACAAGATCAAATAGGCCGCCACCAGCAACGGGTCATTGGACTGACTTTGTGGACCCAGTTGAGTACTTCCATACTTCCGTCCTTGAGCCACGGTACTCGAGCCACATTCTCAGTCTCCTCGTTTCTGGATTGACATCTCTCACGAGAGTAAGTGCTCCACGACACTGCACTGAATCCACAGAACCTTACATATATTCGTAACTACTGGAGGCACAATAAACGGAAATGAAAAGCCGCGCAAGAACAGTGTGTAACGTCAAAGAAGGAAATGATGGGGGCGAGAGACCGTCCCACCTGAGCTTTGACGCAACACGCGCAGACGGTGCGTCGAGGGCGTGACAAGACGTCTGGGGAGGTTAGAAACCATGCAACTGGATGTCTTTTTCAGGGATACCCTCTTCCATTAAGAAGTGCTTGATCTTGACCCTCTGGTCACCCTGGAGCTGGATAACCATGCCAGCCTCCTCATCTTCGATGAGGGTGCCGTTGCAAGCGAACTCCTACCGGATCAGACCGAATGAGTGTCGAGTCAAAAGAGGGTATCGGCGAGCCGCGGGCCAAATGCGCGGTGGTCGCTAGCACAAACGTACCTTCTTGAAAGCCTTGAGGAGCTTTCTAGAGCTGTATTCTGGAAGACGATGAACATCCGAGATCAGATCTACTAGAGGAGTTGGTTACAGGACGGACTCACCCTTCGGAAGACCCTGTAAGGTCGTTAACGACTTGCGGCCATTTCGTTGTTGGATACGGACATGGATGTAATTCTGTTGGCTTCCTACGTCCTCGTTATCAAAGTTCTGTGCTTCGTCTGCAAAGGGGTCTTTACAAGAGGTAAGTTAGATCGTGCGATCGTCATCCTCAGGAGGACTCCACCACCAGATAAGAATGGTGGCGGGGCGGAGAGCACAGGGCGGGGCGACGACTTACCGATGGTAGTGAGGTTACCGACGTTCATGCGACGAGAAACTTAAGGGTAGTACAGAAGGTGTCGAGAGGGACGAGGGTGGTGAGGAGAGAAGGGAACGGTCTTTTTATTCACTTTTACCCGTCATAGTAACTGGGTCTGATTCAAATGTTTGTCCTTATTTGTTCTGGTGGCTGACCGCACACATTGTGTCCCACGACACAGCAATTGGATCCGGATCTGCGCACTTTGCTCCAGGCCCCAAGGAGTGCGAGTAACAGCCATGATCCACCAAAACACCGCCAACAAACGGAAGGGCCCGCCAAAATTCCAGCATCTCCCGAAAGCAAGAGGTACAGTAATCATCGGACCCTATTACTCTAGAAATTTTTCTCACGAGGAGATTCACTCAGCGAAACAACTCAAGTCTGCGTGGATCCAGACACGCAAGATCAAGTCCAAGTGGAGGGCCGAAAAACGCAGGGAGGGGATTGAATCGGTAGGAACACCCTCCACTGCGCCGGAGCTCGAGATTCCTGTGCCGAACGTTCCAGGGCCAAAACCGGATCATCAGCCTCAGTTCATCGATGCCCACACTGGATCCGATGCACTACCTTCTACATCCAAAGGACACCCGGTAAAAGTCCCAAATACACGAACGGTTAGGGAACCCATTCGTACGACCAGAACGGGTCCGGCTGTGGGATCGTCTCAAGAAAAAGATCGCCGGTCAGGACGTCCCAGCGGTTATCAGGGGAAAAAACCGAGTATGAAGAATCGGATGATCACTCTACTAGAGAAGATCCAGAGAGAGAGCGATTAGGGGAAGTAGGTTCGGTGAACCCGAGATATTACGCTTTGGAGAAGATTCTTGATGCTGGAGTTTACACAGGTCGCTGATCCTCATCGATCGATTGGTGATCGACCACGTAGGTGAACTGGGCAGACGTTTGGACGAGGTGCGCGTGCGCGCTTTGGGAGGACAAAGATATTCATTCTACAGTGGAGTTGTCGGCGAACCGATGAGGAGCAGCGAAGGAAAATCAACAAGCTACTAGTTTCTAATCGTCGCATCCCACATGATTTTCCTTGTCTTCTCCCCCCTCCGAGCCTGTCGCTTTCTCTTCTTTGCCAGCCTCGGTTTTCTCTTCAGTGTTCTCCGGCTTAGTTTCCGCTTCCGTTTTGTCAGCATTTGGTGCTTCGGCCTCCCCATGAGTTTCCTTTTCATCTTGGTCTTCGCCTTTGACAAACCTGTCCTGTAAGGTCGTGGTGATCGTTGTCGTGGAAGAAATCGGTGTTGGACTATCGCTTAGGTGACCTGGACGTGGGTCATCGAGTTCATCGACGCGCCCAAAAGCTGGTTCTGCGTCGTCCGGTTCGTTCGGCGATGTCCGCGTGGGACTCCTAGACTTCGACCTAGACCGGGCGTCGCTATGAAGGAAGGGAATCGGCGAGAAAATGGGAGTGGTGGGGGCCGACAATGGACCAATGGATAGAGGTGTTGTCGTTGGGCCATCTCCGTTCACCTTGGCCTCACTGCTAACCGGGTTCGGGAAGCTGTCCCACGTAGAAGTTACAAGAAGCGTCTTTTCGATAGCCCTCAGGTATTTTCCGATTGCCTTGTAGTGTTCCTGCGGCCGGATACACAATTCGCAAATGCGTTGAATAGTGAACGGCGCGTTGCTATGCATGAGAACATCAAGG